ACTTGAATAATCTCGCTCCACGTTATATTGGACCATTAATATCGTTAAGGCGATCAGTTCCACCCCCATGGCGTGCGTGCCTTCATCGATATGGCTTCACCTGACGTTCTACGTTAGGTCTCTATAGCAATACCGTTCGGCTACTATTTTCGGGTTGGTGCCGATCTCGTAGTCATCGGCTTATATGTCGGCCTTCCCTCCCGCCTATTTATGACGCGCCTATAACGACGGACTGGATCGCTCTACCGTCTGCACTTGTCCGAGATCGTAACGTCCGGATGTCAATTTTTTCGAGCATTTCGTGACTCGACAGCTGTATCTTGCTTGCGTTCCTCTACGCCCGCGCAGCACGCTCATGAGCAACTTCAGATCCCAACAAGCATGGAAGCCTCGTTCATAGCCGCGTCGACATCTTTCCAAGTATCAGGACGCCAGCGTTGCCATCTTCAGAGACCGTCTCCGCTTGTGGATGCGGAAGATAGATGAGCTGGATCTTATATCGCAAAATGGATCACAAGCATCTCATCGCGATATACCATCATCGGCTCATGATACGCGCACGTTTCCATCTGCGCGCGAGTACCGTGTACGTTGAAATGGGTTCTTCCCACTCGAGCAGGGTACTTGGGATCACAATTCTTCGATTCTTCGCGAGTTTTCGAGTGTCGTCCAGGCGTACGAATCGATGGATTCGACACACCCTGACCTGGTCGCTGGTTAAATTTAACTAGGTTATCGATCAGTTAGATAGAATTAGACGGCTTACGGCCGGGGATAAAAACCGAAAAGTGAGTTGGATTCAAATTGTTTTTAGCTCCAAAACGGAATGGCTAGTAGAAGACGGTGACTCTTAGCCACCGATTCCGTGCCCTGTCTCCACCGCTTTCTGTTTTGCCTACTACTGGATAATTGCGTCTCGTAAATACATATGATAAAAACTCCGCTGTGTCATATGCAGATAATAGCGATTGCGTGGTTGTGGGGGACGTAACTATGGGTGGGTTGCAGTTCTGGTGAGCCCTACACTAGGTCGTGAGCGCCAGTCACAATTAACTTTCACACGGCGGGACTCGAAACCGCAATCACTCGTCTAGACACCCTCTTCCCAAATGACTGAGTCAATTAATTGCTTCATCCTTTTGCAATCATATAACAATTTAATCCTGCCAAGGAACAATAGAACTAGTACTAACATGCCACATATACCCTGCACATTTTGCCGCAACATCACTCACCAACAGTCGCCGACTTTTACGTTCTCGTAGCGAAAAGGAACGAGAAGAGAGATGTCGATGTCGTGGTGAAAGTTCACCACGACCACGAGTCAAAAAGAGATAATGGCAACGTCGTGATGGATGCTCATCATCACGACGATGAGAACAAGATCGTCGTGGCAAATGTGCAACACCACAACCACGGTGTTGAGAATGGTGACGCATTCGAGACGCATCACAAACAACCGCTGTATTCTGTACCCGCAGACTGCGCTCATACTTTTTGGTCCATATTCGTTTGTATTCGCTGAGTGGATTCTTAGCGACGTGCCGTTGCCATTCTTGGCGAGATGGACGTGGCATCGGATCACAATAGTGACATGCTTTGCGTTCGTAGACGTAGCAAAGTCGGTTGACGTTTCACGCGTTTTGGCATATCTTATCACGTAGCCCACCGATGGAGTGATCCGTGTGAATGTGTTCTCGACTGGCGAGTCACTGAGGGAAGCTTCTTCCCTCCTTAATCAGATGGTTTGAGCGCCAGATATCAGTACACCAAGAAATTAAAGGGGCATTTTATCACATGCCTTTAAAACCCATCCTGCTCAATACGCGGAAACGCCGGAAGTAAGCTATCATCGTTTCAAGTGAGATTAAAGCTTGAGCTACGAACAAATCGTACAGTACCCAAGGGATAACGTGTGAGTCCATCACGTGGATGGAATCCCTCCTACTGATGGTTCCCGTGAGAGCTGTGATGTCGGTGTTTGTGTCATCAGCCATCGATTTGTTTAGGAATGGCTGTTGTGGTATTGCAGTTAAAGCACTCACGATTGGTGAGTGCATTTTTAAGAAGGGAGTGATGTAATGGGTCAATCTGCTACATAAGTAGTTATGATCATTTTTGCATGTTACTTGAGTAGGAGAGATACTACCTGGATAGCGGAAGTAGCATGTTGTATATATTAGCTGGATTAATTGGCACGATCCTCTTATTAGCCAATAAGATATCGGCACGAAGATTGAGTGATTCCCATGAATCCAAGGAAACCCTTCGTACTTTGGATGATAAAATGTATAAGCCTAAATAGAGTAAAAATACTTAACACCTAATAAATGGTCTCAGGGTTTCCTCAAAGCGCAACTAGACTCCGTAACGTACGGTATATTCGAGCCCCGTCACAGGTGCGTTCAGGAATCTCACATACCTAAAGATAACTATGATCGGACGCAGCAACATTGTAAAGGATAAGGTAACATATCTCGATACGGCTTAACATTTCAGAATGTCAAGCGGATCGAGTATTCTTGGATTCTATAAGGCGATCTCGTAAAGATCAGGTTGACTCATGTCGAGCACCCCTAAAGTATACCCGTGATTGTGTGAAGGTTTTCCAATGATCACCCCCAACTCCATCACAAACACGGTCAAGTATTCCCTTGACACGAGTCCACTTAGAAGCGTACAGTTCGCCCTATCGACGGGTACATAAACGGATGAAGGAAGAGTAGAACACGGAAACGGATCTTCTCCAACGATAGATGATCTTCCGGGCACCAAAGGAGATTCGGTGTTACATCAGCAATTTTGTGATCTCCTTTCCATCATATCATCTTAATAAGGACTACGTGCTACCCTATTTTCAATAAGTGGGTGTAAGTTCATATTTCTGAGATATATTTTCTAAAAATTAAGTCTTTATTAATTCGATCGACAAACATAGGTGGAAGGGTTCAGATCCGGTATATCGTGCTACCAGTCAGAGCCTAAATTGATCTATCGCATTTTTTGATACCAAGATGTAGGTCTTTGGCAAGTAGATTATATAGATGATGGAATAAAGACGAATGAAATTGTAATGTGGTATAGTGATCACGAGATTTTACCGTGACGTTGGGACGCGGGATGGGATCAGACGACTGAGTGACAGAAACGACTGTTGAAATTATGCGGATGGACCTACCTAACGGTCAAGAGGGCGTATAGTCAAGTATAGATAATTGACCGATATCGACCCGCGATCAAGGGATTGGATCACCAAGCTACAAGGACCGGATCATGTGAGAGGTGAGCAACATCTGGAATACAGTACTGATAACGACAATGGATGATTGGTGATTATGAAATCAGACTGAAGGAGTCAATTGTTAAGGTCATTAAGGGTGCCAAATTTCAGAAGTGACGGCGATCCGACTGTGAATACCAGATCAAAGACGCAACCCATTGACCACGATCTACCCCGGGTATGTACCACTGGGTGATGTGGACACATAATTGGCGTAAGCATATACTTGATGTAGCTCACATACAGCGGTCCACTACCCTGAGATCCACTACGAAGTGTATGCTGTGGACCACTTGATGCAAGAGGTGAATGACATAGAATGGCGGTGCACAACAATTGACCTAGCGAATAGATTCGCATCGTCATAGGTTTCGGATTTGGTTGGTTGACATTAAACAGAATTGAATTTGCAATAAAAAACACGCGTCGAATTCTCCCTGGCAGAAACTTTGGCCTCCCGTTGAGCAGAGAGCGACCCACGTCTCTGCAATCTTCGCCCTCGGATTGTTTGGCCAGGCGGAAAATCAGTTCTCACCCCTCCCCCCAACTGCGATCGCACGCAGAGAACCTAACGGTTCAGATTCAAGATCGCGAGACGGCTCAAGTGGTCAGAAGGCTCCCGGATCAAGAATCACCCTTGGACAAAGGCGACTCTGGTAGAGCGCCCGAGTATACACGCGATCGAGTGAAGAATTTCCACTCGATGCGCACCTACATTTAACCGGGTAAAGCATTTCCACCCGATCAACCCCTATCCCTAAGACGGTCAAGTTCAGCTTCAGCTCGAGTCCGCCAAGGAGAGCGCAACCCGCCCCAACGACGGGTACACAAGGTCAGCAAGAACACACATAACACTGAATCGGGGTATTTCCTCCGTTAGTCGGTTGTCCGGGTGCCAGTGGAGAATCGGGATCACAAGGAATTTGTGACCACCACTCCACCACAATCGCGCGCGTACCTGGATCTTCTGGTGATTCGGTTATTTACCGTGAGTCCTTGAGCGAAGAAGTCAAGATCAATACTGAAGCTGGGATAGAAGCGCCAGTGAAGGAAGGATCGCTGCAGACGCGTGTAGAAGAAGGATCTCCAGATTGTCAAAGCTTTGGGAGGGGCTTTGACGACAAGAAAATAAAAGAGGAAGATTGGCTGCACGATCTGGAAGAAAACCCAACCCTCTCTTGAGGTCGCTTCGGGGGCCACATCAGATCGCGCTGCGAAGCTGGGTCTGCAAGATGAAAGTCCTAGGGAAATCCCCTAACGTTTTGTATATATATATCGGAGGAACCATAAGACATGGTAAAGAAAGAAGCCAGGAGTTCGGACGACTTGTAAGACGCCGGCCATGATGAAACAAGATCAAAACAATTACCAGAATACGCAAGCCGGATGCAAGGTCAAGACGGAGAAGAAGGATTAAGACCGAAAGTCAGTGGATCGCAAAGTAAGGTTTGAAGATTGGCGATTCGACGAAATCAGCCGGGAATACTACTTGATGGAGCCGAAGAAGCTGTTGTCGAGCAACCCTGTGCTGAAGACGATCAATCCAAAGCTGACCAGATCGCTACACGGACCAATATCTGCACCTAAACCAACTCCCAACTTTTTGGAGGCGCTCCTGCGTCTAATCAATCTACTAATGAATGCGGGGTTTACTGCCGGAACGTTCAATGCGCAAACGCTACTTGAGTGCAGCCACGATCCAGTGATCGCTGCCGGACAGATGTTGTTTGAAACGTTGAGTCCGCTCATAGGCATAAGTGACCCTGGAGACAACCTGACCCCGCCGATCGGCACCACGGATCGACAGATTACGCCGTCAGTCACGATGGATCTAATTCTCACACCGATCAACGACTCTCCCAAGAATGAGCACACGGGATCGTCCCGTTACGCTTCAACGGGGTCAAGAGACGACTCGAAATATTCAATCGAGATCCAACGGATGTGTATAGGACCAAGGGCCGCGGATCTTTTGCGGAAAAAATTTGAGCGGAATGAGGCAGAGGCGCAGGAAGGAAAGCCACAGGCGACGCTGTTCATGAACATGGTGGAATCAGATCAGGTGAATTCCTATTTTCGAGCGGCTATGAAGAAATATGAGCTAGAAGAAGCCCGTATGAACGGCGGACGATCGGCTGTTCACCCACCTGAATCGGAGATTGATCTGCCGGATGTGGACATGGAGTTGGTTGGATCGCGTCGTAGTAGGTCGCACGACCACGATCGTGCGCGCCGTGACCAAGGTAATAAGAGATTACCACAGGTGTCAACGGCGGGTCATCGGATGGTAGTGGGTTCTCTTACCAAAGGATTCGGATGTCTGCCATGGCCGGACTGAAAGAGTTTGCCGGGCGATAAAAGAATGAAGAACAGGCCAGAAACTGGATCAGTAAGGTGAAGTCAGCGTTCCTACGCGATCGAGTGCCTGACGCAGATAAGTGTCGGGTGTTCAGAGATCTTCTTACGGGACCGGCGCGTGACTGGTACAACCGGCTCAGTCGCTCGACGAGGACTCCGTGGAAGGCACGCCTGGAAGGCTCCATGGCTAAATATGGAGGGAAGGGTGGCATCTATGTTGGGAGGCTCGATTACCAAGCCCGTAAACGATCGAACGAGATTCCATTGGACTACTTGTACCATCTGAATGTGGCTGCGATCCGGGCGAAATTCCTGATACGAGATGGATCGCCCGCCACTAGCAAGGAACATGTGAATCATTACATTGGTACCCTGGACGATCGCGATCTGGCTAGAATGCTAACGATGTTTCGCCTTGTAGATGCAGATGATCTGGAAGAAATGCTGCAAGAATGTGAGAGCATGGAAGTTCGAGAAGCTCACGCCTCTATGGGGTCGAGTTAATTTCGACAGCTTCTTACGCCACCGGCGGCCCAAATGCCAGCGAGACCGGCTCGGGCTGTGAGAACAATCCACGTCGAAATTTAGAGCAGTGGACCAGACGTTGACTCCGGCGGTTCGAATACTGACTCGCACCGACGATATGTTTACATGGCTGCAGCTGCGGATCGCGCTCAGAAGCCAGGAGACCCAATCGTCCACAACGAGAGATCCGATCAAAAGAGGCACTACGATCGTGGGAAGCCTCAAACAGTTTGTACACACTGTTTTGGTCGAAGAAGCATGACGATCGCGGATGTTGAAATGGACTGACGTGTCAGAAGTTCGGAGGTAAAGGTCATCCTGCGTACAAGTGCTACTACGTGTGTTCCGTATGCAAGAACATCCACGACAAAGGAAAGAGCCCGATGGAACAGTTATATAACATGATCCGACAATGGTATGTTCCTACCAAGCATGCACGGATGTTGCCGGATCACGCCGAGAAGATGCTAAATCAGGACGCTCGCCAGGTTGGAATCTAGTACGAGCTGAGCGTTCTAGGCTCTGCGTACATGCATTTATGGAGAGGAAGTTGGTCGACGGAAGCGATGACAAGCAGGATGATCGACATAATACATGTGATTCTTCAAATTGTCTGCGTTTTAGTTCGAGTCTTAGAGGACATGATGAGTACGCCCGATCGCCCACCAAGATGGAACTTATCTTAGCGCCAGGCGAGTCAAGGGGATATTGGAAATACCATACACCAGGGAAATAGTTCAAGCAAGCTAAAGTGGTTGGGAAGATTAACAACGAAAATTCCACAATGCTACTTGACTCAGATGCTGAGATCTCGATCGTGGACACTGCCTTTTCTCGTAAGGTAGGATGTGTCATTGACGAGAATTAGAAACAAAAGTGTGTGGGTACAGGCAAAAACACGTACATGACCGAAGGACGTACCAAGATCAAGATCACCATAAACGGATCGCTGGTATACGATTTTGATGGTTGGGTGGGTGATCAGGTCGGTCAAGAAGCGATCTCGGGTATGGGTTTCATGGTAATCGCAGGTATACGTCTGGATTGAGCTGATGGGACACTGGTATTGCTGGATGGAGTCAGCATTCATCTAGCAGGACGCAGACCTCTATACGGATCGTCCATACAGCCTATCGTGATCCCGAAATAGCATGTAGTTTTACCGGTTGGTCGATCGACAGAGATAAGGATCGACAATACCCAGTTCAACGCCAAGCTTTGGGTGAGACGCGACCCAAAGTGGGTACCCGCCGTGACCACCGGGATCGATCGGATTAAGTACGTACACAAATATCAGCCACACGGAAGTTACCCTCGATTGCGGACCGTCTTTAGACTGGAGTATGGCTTCCGATATGGTGCCTCGATACCCAGGCTACGTCTCGGTTGGATCACGACGGCACAACGAAAGGCAGACCCTAGAATTTGATGCAACGACAGAAAAAGAGGAAGAACTGCCACCCGAATACGCTGGTCCGCTTGTGAATCACCCACCTTACCCTACGCCGACGAAGATTCTAAGCTGACCGAAAGAGAATAATGGAGCAACGGACAGTCCGATCCGAGGCGCGAAAGTTGTTCCACATGTGTAGCCACTACTACGTGTCGCTAACACGATCGAGGAGACGGACGGAGGCGATCGAGTACCCGAGGGGCCAATGGAAGACGTTGAAACGACTAAGGATAGGGATACCGATCGATCGCATGACGGATCGAGTGAAGTTATCGACGATATCCATGCGGATCATCAATCAAGAAGCGTACTGCCTGTGATTAATGCGATTCACGAACGAACGACGACCGACGTGGCAGGCGATCAGTCGAAGAAAGAGGCTGAATCTTCACCAGATGTAAAGATTGACGAAGAGCCATGTACGAAGGTTGATCACATCGCGGGAAAGCCGGACGTCTCTACCTATTGTTAAGAAATTGGAGAACTGTACGCCGAAGACGTGGATCAACACATGGCGATCTTACCTGATATTGTTACGCCTACTGTCGAAGTCACGATTGACGATATTCAGGTAGGCGATCCAGACTTACCACTGAATGATGACCAAGAACGATTGAGACAATTGATCTGGAGAAACGAGAACCTTCTGATTGGTAAAGGGAACGTACTTCCTCCAGCCGCACGGGGAACGATATGCGATATTGACGTGGGAGGAGCAAGCTCGATCGCACAGAGAATATGGCCAGTAGCGCCAAGTTATGTGAAAATCTAGCGGCTCTTATCTAAGGACTACTATCAGCCAATATTATTCGACTTTCCACATCACCATGGGCTTCTCCTATCGTCGTGATTATCAAGAAGAATGGCGAGGACATTCGACTGTGTATCGACTATCGACGAGTAAATCAGCTAACAAGGCTGATGGTATATCCAATGCCATTAATTAGTGAACATTTACAAGATATGGACAAAGCGATGTGGTATTGTCCACTGGATATGGCAGGAGGGTTTTGTGTGGTTGAGATGGCAGAGAGAGCGGGAAGTATCTCCGCATTCATTACACCGTCAGGCTTGTTTGAATGGCTACGGATGCCGTTTGGGTAAAACAATTGCTCCGCAGATTTACCAACGCCTGATCGACAATGCTTTGCATGGCTATTTGAAGATCGATTCCGATCCATATGCCTCCCTTATGGAGTCTTTTCAAACGGATCTACGCGTTCACAGAAAACGAACCGGAAACCAGTTAGACACCTTCTGCGTAGGTCGAAGATCGTACATCGATGACAAATGGATTCCAGCTAAATCGTGGACTGCGTTATATGAAAGAGTTGAGGGATTGCTACGTGTATGCGACAAGTGAAATTTATCGATCAGCCTGAGAAAACGCATTTGTAGACGGCGCAAGCTGGATGTCTCGGTCATCAAGTATAGCTCGCCGGATTGGAAGCCCACCGGAAGGACCTCGGATCGCTGGTTAATATTCCGTTTCCTCGAACGCTGCGGTTGATGAAGTCGTTTCTGGGTAGTTTGAATTACTATAGCCGATTTATTAAAGGCTTTCTAATATATGCATCAATGTTATACGAACTACGCTAAGCATATTTCCACGAGATCCGCCTCATGGAGAAAATGGAGTCGCTTATACCGAATGAAAAGAGGGTTGACGATCGGAAGAGTCGAGGGATAGCGGAACAGATCGTGTCGACGTTACAGGGGGAGATCCAACACCTGACTACCAGAAAGGTCATGGTGATAGCGATCCAGACCGTATCGGTGTCACAGGGGGCGATCCAGATTTTCTCTGTGTTACAGAGGGCGACCTAAACCCAACAGACAGAAGTAGATGGGAGAAAGCGATGATTTCGCTCACCACGTATAACAATAAGATCGCGAAAACTCCGATCCTTAAACACTTCGATCCGGATCTTCCTCCATTGATCGTGGTCTATACTGGTAAATGGGCGGTATCTGCAGCTTTGCTACAAGAACACGATGGAGAATACTGTCCTGTAACGTTTACGAGCCGAACGCTAAAACCCAACGATATTAAATATGGAAAGATGGATAAAGAGGGTTTGCCTCTGTTGCGCACCCTGGATATCGGCTACACTATGTTGGTTTCACGTGAAATAAAGGTGCTCACGCGTGTGGAGAAGTGCGAAGGAAGAATGACGGAAGTGTGGATCGCGCGATCCGCCTTAAATGCGAAAATCAATTTAATTGGTGGAGCGCTTACGGATATTGGCCCGTTAGCACGGATGATGGTGTCACACACCTGAGCGACAGGAAATGACTGTGGAAATTATGCAGAGAGACCCACCTAACGGTCAACAAGGAGTATAGTCAAGTATAGATAATTGACCGATCGCGATCTGCGATCGAAGTTTTGGATCACCAAGGTACTCCGCGATCCGATACTCTGCGATCCGGTACTGTGCGATCCGGTATGGGGCGATCCACTACGGAGTATCTGCTGTGAATTACAAGAGGTAAGTGATGAATGGCATAGAATGGCGGTGCACAACAATTGACCTAGCGAACAGATTCGCATCGTCATAGGTTTAGGATTTGGTTGGTTGACATTAAACAGAATTGAATTTGCAATAAAAAACACGCGTCGAATTCTCCCTGGCAGAAACTTTGGCCTCCCGTTGAACAGAGAGCGACCCACGTCTCTGCAATCTTCGCCCTCGGATTGTTTGGCCAGGCGGAAAATCAGTTCTCCCCCCTCCCCCCAACTGCGATCGCACGCAGGGAACCTAACGGTTCAGATTCAAGATCGCGAGACGGCTCAAGTGGTCAGAAGGCTCGCGGATCAAGAATCACCCTTGGACAAAGGCGACTCTGGGAGAGCGCCCGAGTATACACGCGATCGAGTGAAGAATTTCCACTCGATGCGCACCTACATTTGACCGGGTAAAGCATTTCCACCCGATCAACCCTTATCCCTAAGACGGTCAAGTTCAGCTTCAGCTCGAGTCCGCCGAGGAGAGCGCAACCCGCTCCACCGACGGGTACACAAGAGGAGCAAGAAGACACAAAGAACGGAATCGGTTTATTATCTCCGTTAGTCGGTCGTCCGGGCGCCAGTGGAGAGTCGGGATCATAAGAAATTTGAGATCACCACTTCACCACACGCGCCATTCGACGTTGGCCTGGTTGGTGAAATCTTCGGGCCTTAATGAGAGACTAGGGAGATGGGCGGCGTTGATATCGAACTGAACGCTAGAGATCAAGAAGTTTGAAAATTGAGAAGATGAAATCCTGGGTACACTCTCTGCCAGCATAACCCCGCGCGACGAGGTTGATGAGATGTCGATCGCGATCACCCCTCAGAAACAGCCGAAACATACTATAAGTATGACACCACCAACGGTGGAGGAGGGCGAAAGTCTTTGGGTTGTCCGTTTGGATAGATCGGCCCGAACCGAACGAAAAGGCGGGGCGTATAGTGCAATAGTATGGAAGCTCCCAGAATGGAACATAGTGACTGCTGCAGCCGAATGTGCGACAGACTTGACAG